AAAACTGCGCTATTTTCAACCCAGGATTGTGTCATGTCTGATTGAACGGTTTAGAGTGGTCCGTGAAACGGTGACTTAGGTTGCGTCATTATAGGCGACAAATGAAGAGTTACATATGATGCAGGATCCTTCGCAGTAGATAGCGCTATTTATGCAATAGCGAAAAATCAGACCTGAAAAAAAGTGAGGCCTGTAAGGGATTCCAACCACTGACCTCTGCGATACTAGTGCAGCGCTCTACCAATTGAGCTAACAAGCCAACTGGGAGCAGGCCATTAAGTTGATTCGTAATACACCCGTGATGATAAATATGTATTCATTGTAAATGAAGAGTTGTTCGTCTGTCGAAAATTAAAACTTGATGGTCAATTTTTTCAGCTCTGTGGTGTTTTAAGCTGTAAGACGTTAAAAGGTAGTGTCCACAGCGTCTCGGAATCGTTGGAGTTACATTCAAGTTCTTCGTCAGTGTCTTTGTCATTTTAGTTGTCAATTTCCTATCATAGACGGTATTGTTCAACAATGTCCCGGATGCTGTTGGTCTTAATGGTTACAATTTTCTGTCAGCTGGAATAGCTGTTTTTTATAGTGAAAGCATCTCTGCTCATCGTATGGTTTTATCATTGATTGGTTTTGAAAAATCTCGTTCCTGAAATAGGTCCGCCTTTACTAAAGAACTCTGTAGTTTTCAGCGAAATTTAGTGTTTCAAACCAACGGTATCATCATACTCTGGTTTTAGTTTTGTCACGCCCATTTGTTGTCTGGTTTACGTCAGTCCATTTCTTAGTGCGTGATAGTGGTATCAGTTTTGAATTGATGTCGTTTTTTAGTTGTACTGCAGATTCGTCTATACGAAGTCGTAATAGTGTTCATCGCACAAGTCTATTGGTATTAGTTCAAGTTTATAATGCCTTTTTGCTCTAATAATCGAGTCTAATCAGTGGCAATTGTTTATATCAGCACTTTTACCATTTCTGAGACGGATTTCCGGCATTGTGCGACAAATTTCCCTGCCGCTATCGCTTGAACAATGCTGAGAAATAGCAATACTATTCCTAAATCTCCTTCAAAGTCTTGTTTTTGCCCCGAGACTTATGTCAAGAGCAAGTGCCACCTTAGAAAGTTACACGTCATCACATCATCACCGACAATGTCGACAACTTAGCGTACATCCAAAGATAAACATTGAGCGGTATTTCGAGGCTTTTCGGCATGGCTTTTATGACAATTTTGAGAATTTCTAAGCTGTTCTTGAAAGATATAGTCGGAGGAGTTGATCAAATAATACAAATCAATTTTTCAACATACTTGTTTTTTCTTTCTTTTCACTAAGCCTTGAAAGACCGCCCTCAAAATCTTAGCTTTTGAATCAACCTACTAAAACTAAAAAAGTAGTGTCAATTGTATTTGAACGATTACAATCCAGGCGTTGTTGTTATTTTTTTTTATTCAGTTGGTATGACTTCTTTTGTCTATTGTTTCTTTGTCTTTGGTTTCTCCAAATCACACGATGCAAAATTGTCTACTCGTCCAAATACACAGTCACTAGTTTTTTAAATCTAAAATTGATTGTAAATTCTTATCTTTGTCGTCTTCAGTCCTCACAATCGTCTGAGTATTCCTTGTATTCTTTCTTGCAAGGTCCTCCAAAGTCCATCAGGAATAAAACACCTTCGTTCATCCAGTGATTGTCCTAAAGATGTGGAAAAGAAAGAGAGGAAATAAGGTTTTTGTGATTAAATTTACACTTTTAATTGTAATTTTGAAATGTTATCTGTTTGACCCTCCAAGTGGACCAGTAGAAAAATTCGGAAAGATTTCCGTTATAACCCCGTACCAATCAAAAACAAGCCGAAGACCCAAAGGTAATCTGTTGTTTTGCCTCTGTTTTCTTTAATCCAAGAATTGCATGCATAATGAAGTATGGGGTTCTACGGAAATCTTGCCGAAACATTCTCCTCACAATTTTTATGAAATTTTAAAGCAAGGAGTGGCAAGAATTTTGAGGCGAGGCCTTCTGCCATTCATGTAAAAATAGCCGGTGAATAATCTTTCATTTTTAAAAGCTTCTCTATGCTAGGAACGTTTTTGAACAAACATGGCACACCAGTACTTCAGTGGTCAGCAAACTCGTCACAAGTTGATGAGCCACACGTTGTAATTATTCGAAGTCTAACTTGAGCAAGGAGCAGAGGCAAAAATAATAGAAATATTCTTCGAAAAGAATACCTCAAATAGTTTTAACTACATTTGTTTTCATAAGAATAATTGCCATGTTTGCTCTCACTGTTCTCAAACGACGAACAACTAGTTCAGCAGCAGGGCGGCACATAGCTCAAGCAAATTGCCACGGAACTTGCAATAACTCATGTGGCAGCACTCCAGTCTCCAATTCATCGACAGAGACGAAAAACGTTTTAGAAAATACACTTACCATTAATATTTAGTTTGGAACGCATATATAAGTTCTTCTTCGAGGAGGACTTCGTACATTATCCACATCTTCACAGACGACCATGAACTGTTTGGTTTGGCGCAAATTCTTCAAGTTGTCATGAAAATGGATTAATTCTGTGACCAGCACGAAAAACTTGCGTTGCAAATTTCAGCCACTTCCGTTGTAGTTTGAATTCGTGAGAATAATTAGCTACCATTAGGCAAACGTAATTTGCATTGATAATTCTACGTGGGGATTTTGCTAGATAGATAAATAGATAGATAAATCGTTTATTAAAAAGAAACACCTCGCAGTCCGAAGACTGAATTACGTGTATAATATACAATACAAGAAACAAAATTCATCGTTAAAATGGTTTGAAAATCTTAATAATAAAAAAGGTGGCTATACAAAAAAATTCGCATTTGTTCCACCCCATCACCCTACACAACGTCAAATTTGGGAACCCACCCACCCCACCTCCCCCCGTCCATCAAGTAGTAGGCTTGATCCTGCCCGTTGGATTTCTTCTTCGCCTTTTCTCAGGCCATAGCGGTGCCCCACTTCTTTTACTTACCAGTCGTTTCGTACCATTGGACGTTTCGTACTCAGTTGATTCGTACACAGCTAGGACCATTTGCACCCTGTCAGTTTACTCGTTTCGTACCTATGTTGATGAAGTATGTATTCCATATTAGTATGTTTAAAGTAAGGTCGGTTTCTCTTTTTAAACAGCAATGCAATCCGTGTAGTAAAACAAGTTTTTCCTTGACGTGGCTTCCATTTTCAATACGCGACCACCGTTCTATTGAAAATATTACACTCACCTTGAACTAAGTAATTATTTCGGTATCGTCGAAAAGGTCACAAGTATATGCAACAAAACTTAACTTGTTTCTTACTTGCTTGATTCTCTACTACCTTTACTAACTTGTCGTACGCAACAATGGACATCTTTCACGCGCGCGCGCGCGCGCACAAAGTAATTCGAGGTAATTCGTGGTATAATTCGTTTCGGCTAAGTCCGTCGCGCTAGTCAAAATAAAAAATCAGTGAAACTATTGCAGTGACGCCGGTGCGCCGCGGGAACTCGGTAAGTAGGGTATGGAGTTCCCGTGGCGCATCGGCGTCACTCCAGCAGCGGAACGCGCTAAGATCACTTTTGTTTCCTTGAATTTTTTTTTTCACTCGCGCGACAGACTTCGCTGAAAAGGAAGGACTGCTCGTACTCTGGGTGGCTCAGGAAACTCGAGAAAATCGTTTTAACCAGTCAGATGCAAAATTCACAACAAACGTGGCTTGCATTTCCCACACCTTGTGCAACTTCCTGGTATTTACTTTAAATCTTCATTGGATCTTTCTTAGACCCATTACAACCTAACATCAGTATGCATATTCTCCATACTGTTCTCTATACATTTCCTAAGATGCTGACAAGGAGAATTTGTTCAACAATCAAGAGCCTTTCGAGTTGGTGATCGCATACTTTATTCTCGTGACTTTTTAAGTGATATTGTGAGAAAACATTAGATACAGTAAATGGTTTGAACCCGGGGGGGGTAACATGTGAAAGTATAGTGCGATCGTCCGGGTAAGTGTAGTCCCGTTGTTGGTGACTGACGTTTCGACAACCTGTACGGAAGTCATTATCAGAGTCAGATGAACAGTGGTTGTCAGTAGAATGTTCTTAGTCCATTACGTGTGAAAATGATTGGTCAGTTTCGCCGTGTTGCTATTGGCTAAGACTCAAGTGGCGTAGGTCGGTCGTGATTGGTCTGCGTGTTAGGTCGTTCTGTTCGGTTAGTTTGTAATGTTATGTAATGAAAAATTAGATGCTGGTCACTTTTAGTTAACTAGCCTTCCAAAAAGAAAGGAGAAAGAAGAGGAGAGAGAGGATGTACTTCATTTATGATTGTCCACGCAATACATTGATTTATTCTTTCGATCATTCTTTAGAAATTCCAAACGATAAATGTTAAGTTTTATTTCAAAATCGTCTTTGAACAGTTAACTAGCTTTTCTCCAGGTTTCTTTTTTTCACATTAGTCATGAACTGTTCCGCTAATAATTTGACAACGTCCTGTTTCCCTTTTTGTTGCGTTTTTTTCTGATTTTCCGTCTGAACTGCATCTTGTAAGCGTTCTAAAGTGTCCTGATACTTCTCAACCATAGGCTGAAGTTTGTCTTCTTTGATGTTATACTTGGCGATCTTTTCACGTCCTGTTTTCTGAATCACTTCTTTAAAGTGATGTACTTCTTCGCTGTGTAACAGTGTGATGGCCGTTCCTGACACCACAAAAATCGATTGAAACAAATCAGTGAGCAAAATGTGTTGAGTACAAAGTGTCTAAAATTTTCTTTCGTAGTTTGACTTATTTCGTTTGGCCATATGGTTTGGCATTTCTCTTCTAACTAGAAGTTATTATTCTTTAAGACTTAAAATTTTGTTATAGAACCACAATTTAAGGCTCGCAATCAAATGCTAAGAATGAAGCAGGAGACCTTCCTAAATCCCTCTCTTGCGATAAGATGGCATTTAAAAACATTAATTAATTCATTCATTCATTAATTCATTCATCTTTTATTTGTTTGAGCAGGTTGAGTTTATGGCAGCAATTTTGATGATGTGGACCTGCTACCCATCCCACCCCAGGGAAGGACATCCACCACACAGTAATCTCGTGCGTGGAAAATTAACGTCTCCTACCCCTAACCCTGCAGGAGACGGGGCTTACGGTTTATTCGTCCTTATCGGAGAAGACTACAATTTCGATCCATTTCTTGGTAGCAAATTCTCCTCAGTTATTTTAAGACCATGAGCCTCTGGTCGCGGCTTGAACCCTCGACCTTCCGCACAACACAATCCGGCGCTCTAACCAATTTAGCTAACCGGGGGGAAGTTTGAGGAACTAGAAGCCACAAATTACAAGTAGAAACCAAAAGAAAGTTCATGACGATCTTTGCAATCGTTAAAAGTTACATAAACTCCAACGATAAACACAGCGGAAGAGACTGGCATTAGGTTACCTTTGTTTCCTGCCCTGGCTGTCCTACCCACACGGTGTATGTATGTTCTGACGTAATTTGGTACGTCATAGCTGATGACGTAACACACATCCTGTATATCCATTCCTCTCGCCATGGCATCTGAACAGATCAGAAGCTGTAGTTTTCCGAGCCTGAAGTCTCTCAAGATTCCTTTCCTCTGTGGAGGTGACAAGCTGGAGGAATACTCAGCTACTTCAATGCCACCATATAACTTCATGAGTAGATACAACCTGCAGCAGATAAAGAAAAGGGATATGGGTAGAAAGCTCAGTTGTAAGAGAGATTTTCAACCCTTTAAAGAGTGACCAGAATCTAATTGCTTCGCAAAGAAGTAGTGCAGAGTCATTCATCAAGAACATGAGAATAACAGAAATGAATGCCAAGACAAGAGGCTTTGATTGTTAAACAAATTCTCCTTGTCAGCACCTTGGGAATTGAAAGGAGAACAGTATGGAGAATATGCATACTGATGTTAGGGTGTAAAAAGTTAAGTCAGTTGTTGTGAATAGAAGACAAACAAGACTAAAAAGCAAATGCTGAGCACGTTGGATTTCCCAGTTTCAGAAAACTGGGCTCCCTTCAATTTTTCCTACAGCAGAGCTTTGGGTCAAAAGTATAACTAATAAGTTAAATTTTTGGTATTATTGAAAGCTATGGGAACAGCAAAACAGAAACTGCATGTAAACACATATTACCTATGGGTAGCTTCAAGTGTGGAAGCAAAACACAAAACTCTCTCAAATTTAAGCTGTGTTAAGAAGTACAACACCATCAGCGGCTTCTCTCCACTGTTACAAACTGTCATGTATTCTGATAGTCCTTCTGGAACACTGAACCGACCAGATATTGATACATCTAAATAAAAAAACCAAACATGAGGCAAACTGTTTATATTCCAATGCTCCTCTGTTAAAATTTTCAAAATCCTATGATCATGCTAATGATTATTTCAAAGGTCACTTGACTACAAAGGCATAAATGGAGCATAGTTAATTTCTCGATCCAAATTAGCACAGATATAGTACTGAAATGAAAGATATTCTAGCTAGTGCTATCTAAGTGAAACTACAACTTATAAACAGAAAGCAGTTGTCACCAGTTACACAGGTTGATAGCTTGTGTATGAGAAACAAATATAAATCTTTTCCTTTCAATAAAGTTGGGACAAGTTTTTATACTTAGCCTTATCAGTATATTTCTTAATCCAAACAACAACTAGTGTGACCATTTTTATTTGAACCACAATTTTAAGTAATCTGTCCGAAAACTTCAACACTAAAAGTGGGAGAAGTAGAGGTCTAATGGCCAGCACATGTTGCTTCAGATTTTTCAGAACTAAGACAGTTGAGATGAAATTACACATACTTCTCTTGGAACTACTGCACTTTTTTAAATACTACAAAACAAACAGCTGAAGACTTTCTACAAGTACCTGAAGTTGGTTTGCCCAAATCAGTTGTTTTTGTTTGATTCACACTTCCTGTCCCAGTAAACAAGGTTGGTTGATACAGCTGGAGAGGAGCAAGCTTTTCAGGGCTGTGTGTCATTGTTGCAGAGAACAACAATTTTTGCAAAGGAAGTTGAATGGTGGCAAAACTTGCTGCTGTTTGAGCTCCAGCAGGATGCCTGATTGTCTGCAGGGTACAGGACAAAGGCCTGAAAAGGAAACAAGGTATTTGATACAGTCCAAATGTATGCATGTAGAAACAGTGATTTGATATAGTCTTGACAGACTTATAAATGGAAAACAGTGGAGTTTTTGGTTAAATTTCATGGCAAGAATGTCCACAGATTGAAGTTGTTTAAAGTTTCCAAACACCCCAATGAGAGGAATGAGGGAAAAATTTGGTTGGGATGGCCAGATCAAAAGAACCTTTTAGGGAACCTCTCTATAACTCGTCTAGTATAATCCTACCCTTTTTTTTACACACCTTTATCCCCAAAGTCTCCTACAACATCTTTCCCCCAACTCTTTGCAGGTGCAAGATAGCTATACTATCCTGTACTACTTAAACTAAATTTTCAGACCCATTAACAGGTACCTGTCACTGTTGAAAAAGTTGCTTGTGAGAGATTGTTTGTTGTAGGCAGCCTTCAGTACTTTGCCAAGCCAGCCATGGTATGATTGACTCAACATGCGATCAGCTTCATCAATCACAAGGAATCTTACATGATGCAGTGTAAAATTTGGGGTTGATGAAATGTGATCAACTAATCTACCAGGAGTACACACAAGAATATCAATGCGACTGCTACTACCACAAGAGCTGAAAAAAAGTAAAAGCACTGTAATGAGCATTAAAAATTAGTCACTACGCACAAGATCTCAATAGTAATTCTCCTTACTGTCTGCCATACAATTCTTATGATGTTAGTTTGGAGAATTTGGTATTGGATCAACTAATGATCTCCTAATTGATATTCTTTCTTCTCATTACTTGTCTGCTTATATTTCTTATTTAATTATTTATTTATTTATTTATTAACTTTGCCAAGCAACAACAATAAAATAAATAGATAAAAAAAAGATGACAAAAAAAAATGACAAAAAAAATGGCAGGGACACCGCAGCAGCAGAGCCAATTAAAGCGGGCCCAGAATATAAAAGATAAGACCAGAGAAGGGGAGAAAGGAAACTATCAATCTACATGCAGCAAGTAATCTTAGAATTTAGTGGATGGACAGTATTACATTTGAAACAAATAGACTAAAAGGTTTTGTAAATTCTATCTTAGTCACTTGTGGAAGTTAAATGGTTAAAGACCACAACCTTACACAAAGAAGACTTTTCTTCACAGATTGATTCCAGATATCAAACTCAAATATACACCTATTTATTATCTGGATGCAATATATAAGTAAGTAGGTAAGTAAATTCTGTACTCGAGCCAAGTGGCTCCTCAAGGAAATGCCAACTTCTTTCCGCATCTGCCACAAAGATGATGTATGTCATGGGTAAAACATATTTTGTCAAAGTAAAACAAAATACTTACTCTTGGTTAGCAAGCTGTTCCTGATTCTTTGTGAATGAATTTGATCCTGAAGCTAGGCCCACGCTCAAATTTGTACCCTCTGTGAACATTTCAAAAACTTGTTTAACTTGATTGGCCAGATCTTTGGTAGGAAGGATGATCAATGCCCGCAAGTGACAAACCACCCTTTTCATCAAGATCTGTACAACGGGTATCACATATGCAAGGGTCTTGCCACTTCCTGTTGGGGCTGAGACACAGATATCACCTGGTGCATAACCCCCTTTCCCCAAGAAACTCTTTGTATCCATTTGAGATAGTATGGCTGGGATTACCACACTCTGCACAGGAAATAAGTGATGTATACCAAGCTGTTGTAGTTTGGTGACGATATGAGATTCTAAGAAAGGGATCTTGTCAACAGGAGTCTTATTACTGCCCAAGTCAGAGTTAATGATCGTAGGTTTTGCAAGCCAGCCAGGTAACACTCTTTGTACTTTTTTACACTCTTTGTTTTTCTTCTGGCCTCCAATTACTGTAAACCCTGTATCTTCATTATTTTCTTGCAGTGTTTCTACTGATATTTTTTCTTTACTGTCCTCATTTTCTTGAGAAATATCCTCATCTTCATTGTCAAAGTCACTTTTGATAATTTTATCATTAAAAATAGTCTTGTTGTTGCCCTTTTTTGCTCCCTTTGTTCTAGTGGTCTTAGAGAGTCTGTCCTTCTGTGAATCCTCCACGGGAATATCATTTTTAACTTCAACTTTTTCCTCTTTTAAGCCTTTCTTGGATATCCTTTTGTAGTTTATCTTCTCAGAATTCTTTTCAATAAGCATCTCCTGTGAATCATCGATGGAAAAAGCATTCTTGACTTCACCCTTTTCCTTTGGGATCCCTTTGTCTTGTACCTTCTCCGATTTCTCTTCCTCAGTCTTTGTTTTCTTTTTCTTCGCTTTCTTCGCTGATTTCACCTCTTCTTGGACATCAGATTTCATTTGTTTGGAGTCTGAAAATTGGATTTTGTTTGATTCCTCATAGCTCCCTCCACCCTGAGCTAACATTAGTCTCTTTCTCTTTCTATCGGCGATTGCACTTTGGAGTTCGGCCAGTCTTTTAGATTCGTCTCTTTGATCTGGTTCATTTTCGTTATCAGCCAGGAATCTCTCTACTCTGAAGAGATCCATTTCAAATAAAATGTTCTTAAACTTCAGCTCTAACGCAGATTTGAGGATTGCATCAAGAGCCACTACGTTAGTAGCACTCTTTAAGAAAATTAAGGATTTCGTCCGCCATGTTTCCACGTGATATAGAGGGAAACTGGGCTTGAAGATGCAGTCCGCTGAGCATAATTTCTGCTGGCGAAAATAAAGGAATAGTTGGCAAAATCGTTGACAAAAGTCCATTTTACAGTTGTGTGCTTGGTTGCCAAGCCCTTGAACGGGAGCGAGGCTAGGGGTGACCTTGTTATGATACAAACCTTGCTGCCTTTAAAAAGTGGATCACTTTGGTACCATGCTAACTAGCTACAGGTCTCTATCACAACAAGCTCACCT